TAACATTCATTTCATCACTGAAGAAGGTTATAGTATTTTAGCCGAAACGTCTATTTTTAAGATTTTTAAGTCAGTGACAACAATTTTTAAGATTTTATTACTATGCCTGACTACAACTACAGTATTTTTAAACAGTATGGAGCGTATGCACATGACGTCATGGTAACCATATTGGTGTTCCAAAACAATGAAACGGCGGCCATGTTGTTATACCAAACCAATCCCGCGGGAGTACCTTCTTAACTCTTTTCTTATGTAAACACTTCCTTTTGTTCCAATAAATTTGCATGGCTGCTAGACACGCGAGTGCATACGCTCTATACGGTACGGCATACCGTTTTAAGAAATTACATGTGACATACCCCATAAACGTGAATTTAGTTGATTTAAGATTGCAAAACAATCCAGAACATCATGTTCGTCGATGAAAGAAATTAAAAGAAAAGAGAAAGCCATTTCTGGTAGGAGACGGTGACGCGCTAATTGTTTGTGCGCATCCTTACTGCGCACGCATTCCACCCGCCATGTCATGCATCAGGCCTGGTCATGCATGAGCGAGCGCCATTTAGTAAAATGAACTGCATAATAACAGTGCTAGGCCATTACTACAACTTTGCGTCGATCTTAACGTTCCTTATCCCTATTTTTCGTTTGAAAGATCCCTTTCTCTACCGCTTTCCTACTTTTCGCAAAAAATACAGAAAATCTATCTATCAGAAGACTTTGGGAATACGGCGTGCATGTTTCTCCGACGTTTCCCAGTTTTGGCATACGGGAAACATTGTTTTCAGCGTCAATGTTTGTTTCCAAGATGCGAATTATGCTTCCGCTACAAGGCAGAGAATTTTAACGAGAATCAGAACATGCGAGCAGTTCCGAATTTTTGCGAGCACGAGCAAGCGAGCACTCATCTAATTTTTGCGAGCTATTCGAGCAAAGGCCAAATTTGCGAACACTTTTAAACTGAATGGGACCATTCGATACCCCTACTTTGGAGCAAACATCCCTAACTCAGTGCGAATATTGAGTGCTGAAAATTAGTCAACCGATGTTAAGCTGTCCGGCGAAGGAACAGTACATCATGACTGTTCCAAAAAAATGAATTTTCTAATCGAGTTCAATGCTGGGATTTCCATAATTGCTGAGTACATTCTCGGAGACCTTAGCAATATTTCACGCTGCTCTTAAAATATTAGGGATCATTTACATCTTATTTATGACATCCCGTACGAACAAGACACTTGGTGTAAACACTGGAAGAGCTCAAAGGAAGGCATAAGGAACCTCATTTTTTTCTGAAAGTTTGTTATTGCATTGAAGGGGTGATGAACTACGACTAGACCAAAAACAATTTGAATACTGTGAAACATTCCTGTACTGAAACAAATAGTTCTGAAGACTTGTAGTCCGGATAACTAATGCAGAGAAATTAAAAAGTGACTGCAGCAAAACTTTGTGATCTTTTCCCTGAGGTAACGTAACGTGGTTCAATCAATTCCGAATATATCGCAGCAACGATAACAAAGCCAGAAACAATGATACTACACCACTGATACTACAGCTAACTCAAAGCCAAACCACAACGCGTAGATGACTGAAAACGATCTAGGCCTTTACAAAAGGAATTCTTGCTGCCGTCAGGGTTTAGTTTCTTCATGGTACATCACGAATGTATGAAATACGTTTCTGAAGCCAATCTAATAAAAAAAACCAAGAAAACGGAACTGAATAATTTGTCGAGAGTTTACGTTCTAGTTCACTGAAAACTGAATGAACTGAGTCATGCTGCCTCAGCGACATGGATCAAATAAAAGATTTCGATTTATCAAAATGTATGATGTTCATTAAGCTCTTGTCGACGTTTTAGTGTGAGTATCGACTTATTTGCACTACGACCTTTAGAAGGAATATATTAAACGGCCTTACCTTTCTTCACCCTTACAGATACCACGAGTATAGGTAAAGACACGGACAGAAACCCGCAACAACAAGCCGAGGCTGACTGTTTGATCAGCCTACGCAGGTGCAAACGAAAAAAAAACTATCAAAATAACATTCATAATGCTGAAAATTGATAGTAGGATATTCAGTCAAAGTCGAACCAAACAAATTGCCCAAAAGAATGTTATCATTCACATCTTTAGACCTCATGGCGCGCTAAATCAACTTTCTTTGTTTCTTATTAACAGCTCCCTAATATCCGCTTCATTCCTGCATGTCCCGTTGTTGTTTTCTAACCCCGAGAAGACCCCATGTTGTACGACGTTTTATTGCAGAGCTATTTTCCTTCCCTTCGCTGTTAACTCTAAAATTATGCCAGTAACAAAATGGTCACAAGCCATGCGATTATTAACATATTATTGACATGCCTCGATGTTCATATTAAAATATGATGACTGAATTACTCCCGATTTCTCTTATACTCAACTCTTGCCTATGAATCACAAAATTTAGTTAATATAAGAAGTTAAATTGACAGTAAGACTCAACCTACGCTTAAATCCGATGTCTAAATTAGTACATAATTTGCAGAATGTTGCGTTAGTGTCGCTCAATCTCTTTGAGCACAAATAACCATTCATGTCAGCCGTATCAGTATTTTCACGTTGAAATGGCTTTCTCATCTTCTCAGCACATATAAACGGACCTGCTAAATGCTCAACTCGGCACTGAATTGAGTATTTCAGTTGTAAGTATAACAGAAATAATAATTAGTTAGACGTCTTAACGGTCTCAAATTTGGTTATACGGTGATTGACTCAGTTTTCTGAACACGGATTATTTATAACTGAAATACTTCTGATTGTAGTTAAGTACCTTCTTGAATTTTCTGTTATAATTTTGCGTGGGCGACTTAAAGTTATACCACTAGCAGAGCGTTACATCAATTTTCGATGTGCCAGCATTCCTTGAAGTTTTTGAAAATAAAATGTAGTGGTATGCTGTACCTTGGTAAAACCGATACTAGTTTTACTGATTTCTTTTCAGTCTTTTGTCGCGTAGTTTGAAACCACAGAAAATTGGTTCGGATAATAACTGTATTATTTTTACTTTTGTTTTGGTGATGGTTGTTCATGTTGTGTAGGACGGGAAGTCAATTTGCTACCAGGTGCTGACATTTAACATGCAAAATAGCGACTTTAAACTTATTTTTGCTGACACTTTCTGACTTCGTTGCGTTCTTATCCCAAACGAAATCTAGGCAGTGTGAAATATTTGGAAGCTAACGTTGCGCTTTTAAGGGTAGACAAGGCCACATTTAATCTTACTCTTTCGTAGAGGAATACCAGTCGTCTGACAAATTTGAGTTTATTTACGACAAAAAGCTTGCCTTTCTTACTGCTTTTATCTTAAACATTGAAATAACCAAACTACTGGATATGCAATAACAGATCGGATCACTTTCATCTGTGTTATTGTAATCAAAGCAAATCCTCTGAGTTATTCCTTTGCAAACAAAACCAATGCATAAATTGTCAGTAGAATTTGTGGCCGGTAAAAAATGAAAATGACTTGGACTAGTGTCGATGACGTCGATATGGATCACACATCTACTGAGAGTATTTTCGGCTGAAGACCAAAAATAATTCCAACCTCAACGGTAAGACCCATATCAATATGTTTGTGTACCTTTCTTTATGTTACCAACGAGAACAAATAACTATATTTTGAACCAAAAACATTTTACTAAAAGTATTTAATAATTACTTTTCCGCCGTTAGAAGTGTTCGAATATTTTCTTTCTAGAGTATTTGTCCATAACAAGGTAAAAAAATGCGCTTTTCGTTCTTCCACACAAAGAAATTCTACTTGTTACTACAACAAAACAAAACAAACTCAAAAAAATCGACTAATAAGGCAAACAACAGCTGGCTGCTTGATCGGTAATTAGTTAGTGACGTGTGACATACGTCAAATGAATATTAATCACGTGAATATGCAAAACCTCGTTGAGGTCCAGTGCTCCTTAGACAATAATAATTCAATAAATTTGCAGATTTAATCAGCAGTCAGGTGGACATAATCAAATTTCAAACGCTTCACCTTTGTTTACGTTAGGAATGCATTCTTTATAACACTCTTATTCGATGGTAAACGGTCATTTATGAACAAATATCACTGGAGAACACATCAGCAACTTCCTTCAGCAGACAACACTGCATACCGGAGAGAAAAATTCTTCTCAGCTATGGATGCTCTGTTATTTCCAGGTAAATTTTCAATTATGCTGTGCTTCGCTATAAACAACTTAGTGCTCACGTGAAGGCAAATTATCTCATGATTTAACAGACTTTTTCAGGGTTTTACCGAAGAAATACATCGATAATCGCTCTGTCAGAGAGTATCCTACGTGTTGCGTGGATAGATTCTTTTGCTTGTTAAACATTCAAATCTTTTGTCTGTCATATTAAAATTGCTACAGTTTTCTTGTTTACAAACCATACATTCCATAAAATGGCAGGGATTAAAAAGAGAAATACTAGCAAAAATAAATCTTGGAAACGAAATTATAACTGTTCACAGTCATTGTTGATTTTACGAAACCTTTGCGATTAAAATTCGTATTTGATCACTGAGGAATATCTAGTTGAGACAAGATTGCGCCCTTCGAGTCAGACATAACAATAAAGGGGTTAAAGACTTAAGGGGAGAAAGTTTTAAAATTACCAGTAGTTTCAATGGGTTTTGATGCAGTTTATTTGTATTTAACTGGTTCTGATATTTTTTATCGTATTTTAGGCCAAGAGCGAGTAAACCAACTTGGAGGAGTTTTTGTGAACGGTAAACCTTTGCCTAAAGCACTCCGCATCCGAATTATCCAACTGGCACGCTTAGGCGTAAGAGCAAGTGATATTAGCCGACAGCTACGCATTTCTCATGGATGTGTCAGCAAGATCCTTAACAAATTTTACGAAACTGGCTCCATCGAGCCTGGCGCCATCCCTTCTTCAAAAAGCCGCGAAATCACTCCCGAAATAACCAAAAGAATAGAAGCGTTTGTCGCTGAGCAGCCCGATATGTTTTCGTGGGAAGTGCGGGACCGTTTGCTCTTGGAGGGGGTATGCGTGAAAGCAAATTTACCATCCATGGAAGCGATAAGCCAGCTACTAAAAAGCAAGAATGACAAATGCGATCCTGAATCGTCCAACTGTTCTCCAGGAAGCTTGAAAAGAAGCTTCTCATGTTCGGAATCCGAGGAGGAACAAGAGATGATAAAGATTCCAAAATTCGAAGCGCCATTCTCTATATCTAACATTCTAAATTTGGCGGGAAAGCGGGAGGAGGGAAAATCATGCAAAGAAGAAAGAAAAGAAGAAGAGGATGAAGTGGAGAGTCAAGATGATGCACCAGGTACTTCAATTTAACCTATATTACATTTTTTATTTTGTAATAGTTAAGCCAGGATCCCCTTATGAGTACCGTAGTTTTCAGTTGAGTGGTACTCGTCCTTTAAGCTGGGCACGATATTGCATTTCTAGTATCTGGTAATTAAAGAGAGATAAATTTACCATCTGTCGTTGTCAAATCAGTAATATCACTTGTTGATTTGCAACATTTCAAAGGCGTTTTCTTATTAGCAGTATTGTTTCATATCTGATTGACAAGTCATGTTCTATAAACTGCTCACGGGAGTTGTTAGTACAAAACAACCAGAGCATAACATGGGTTGCACGTGCCTGCAGTGGGAACGTTAGAAAGCAATATATCCTCGACAGAAATAGTTTGGGCGGTCTGTTATAATACATCAACAAAAGGAAGTCGTAAAATATATCAACCCCCACTTTTCACCGTCCGGCTCCTTCCGAAAGATTTCAGACCGGCTGCCACAATATAGGAACGATTGTTTACCAACATTGAATCCTCTGTTTTCTGTTCTAGAATTTACCACGAGAGGAAAACAAGCACTTTTCTCAGGAAGATGCAACCAAGAGTTATTTTTTAGTCGAAAGCCGAGACGTGGTCGCACAAAGTTTTCTATGAATCAGGTAGAAGAGTTGGAGAAAGCTTTTGCTAAAACACATTACCCGGATGTCTACACCCGAGAGGAACTGGCGCAACGATTGGACTTGTCTGAGGCAAGAGTACAGGTAAATTCATAAATGGAAAGCAGCGCACAAACTTTGTAAACAGTAAACGAAGCGTTTTTGACCCAGCAAATGCAATGCCATAACGTAAGCTTTGTACATGAAAGTATGTTTCTCAACTGAAAGCAAACACAAAACATTATTCTGTAATAGCTTTTAGGGTTATGGTAACCACTAAAAAGAATTTACTTTAAACATTTTGCACGTCATCGTCAGTCAATATATTTATAAATATATCATATATGTTTTTATGTAAATATGCATATGTATACTTTTTGCAAATATCGCCGATTACAAAACAGTGAAACAGTCGGGACAGTTATTTATCAGCAAAACATAATTTCTTTAAACTGTGATTCTACAATGGCGTAATAAAGATTTATCTTTGCAAACCTCCCGCGTATATTCTGAAAGTAATGCAGTACGCTTATGAATTTTGAACCCTGCACAGGGAAACTAAAAACGCTGTTTGCAAGTTGTGAATTCGTACAATGAGAAATGCCACAACATATGACAATTAATATATAAAACACTTAGTTTCAGAGTTTTTTGAAAAGAAAAAAGGAGTCGGAAATTGCATCGTAATATTTCAGTATGGTATTTTCAAATACGACTTTGTTGTTTTGCTTTTTTTTAATTCTTACAGTACATAAATTCTAAGACTTCATTTTAATGATTACTTATGCCATATGTTCCATTTTCACTTCAGGTTTGGTTTTCAAACCGCAGAGCTCGCCTCAGAAAAGAAGAATATTACACCGAAACAAATCAGACAAGGGAGTTGTCCAAAGCAGTCCATAGTTATACAGCATTAACTACACCTACAGCAAGTTTTACTCGAATTTTTTTCCCAAATGGTGCTGCATATGTTGTGCCATATTACTGACTTCCTTGGAGCGAAAAATATTTATATTATACATATATCATAATAAGGTTTTATAAAGCGATTTTTATTTGTAGTTATGATTAATTGTATAGATTTCAATAGTGTTAAAAAATTGCAGTAAGCAGACTTGTCAGGAAATGTAAAAAGACTTCTCATTCACATTTTCATGTGGAAACTTTCACGAGTGTTTCAAAAAGTGAACTTGCCGTTTACGATAGGTTCAAGAAGCACGCTGAGGATTACCTCCAGAAATGTAGGTTTGCATTAAATTATTTGAGAAAACTAACCATGAAGCAGACATGGGGGGAATATGACAAGTTTACAAGTTTATTACATAACATTTAGATAGATTATAAAAAGAGCATCCACTTCAGCCACCCAAGGCAGGATCAAGTGAAGGTTAATTTTTTTTTTAATTCTTTTATACAATTTCGGAGTATAGATACTAAGCCACGTGAAATAATAGAAACATACAAGAAATAATAATAATTATACTGTTAGGAAAGTTCTTTTAATTCTATCTTTTAGTACTCAAACATTTAAACACTCTTTGAAGTACACGCGACTCATCTCGATGCCAAAAAATCCATAGCTGTTCGTCAATTAGTTTTACGCAATATAATTTTAGTAATGTCTCAAAACATTTTGTGCAAAGATTGCCTTTAATCATTGGCAAATTTTAGTTTAGGTTTCTGCCACATATCCCTAGATAACCTTCCCGTGATGTTCATTTTAGCAGATGACTCAGAGCGAGACTTCATTTAATTGAAAGGTGTCTGTTTTTAACTTCGAATCCAAGTTATCTTATAAATTCACTCAGTTACTGGGTAAGATATGCATTTCTAATCGCCAAAAGACTCTGTCTTCATTAATTGTTCAGTGATCAAGCTCTCCTTACTAACACTATGCAAAACGAACAGTCAGCAACTCCGTCAGAACTTGTATAATAGTTTTCGCATTAGCCTGGCTAAGAGTGAGGCGAAACGGTTCGAAGTGTGTGTAGCTTTACGATTCACAAAATCATATTGATTTAGATCCAATTGTTTGTCTAAAGCAAACATGGAGAGAGAAATTTTCATGATATATTTTTCAACCAAAAGATTTATTCTATCAACAACTGGCTGGCAATATTTGTCCAGCGAATGTGTGTTATATTTAACTCGATAGCTAAATTTAAAAACAGTTCATTATGACTATGTTTTACATGTTCTGATAGTGGTTGCCTCGCCCTGAGAAGGCTGGGCACAGACTAACACAAGCACGTACGCTTTCGCTGCTAAGTAAGAGTGAAACAGTAATTTAGAAATTATACAACAGGGAATGTAAAATGTTTTAAAATCGTTAGAGTCAACTGATAATTAGTCCAAGTTAGCTAAGGTAAGAAAGTTTCAGGACGATAATTCATTGGGCCGTAAGTATTCGTAAGCGAATTTTCTTGAACTGTTTTTAATATAATACAATTCATGTGAAATGTTCACTTGTGTGTTGGCTTATCAGAGTGGGTAATGTTATTAATCCCTGTACTAAATTCGTTCACAAATTAATAGAAATCTTCCTGAAATAGCACGATTAAATACTCTCATCAAATATCAGCCTCAAACTAGCCGCCAGCTTGCCGCTACGATTTAAGGACAAACAATATGCTACCTGGGTTAGGATAACCGACGCCGGTTGAATTGAATATCCAAGTTCTTTCTGAAGACTAAACTGCACTGAACGTGATTAAGATAAAATCATAGAGATCAAATCGATGGATGAATAATTTTATTAAGAGTGACCAAAGCCCAGTGGCTGCATCAGGCAAGAAGGTTAACAATTAAATTTGAAATTACTTTGCAAAGCTATACCGCTGGCCACACTAGTTTCAACAAATTAAAGTACATCTGCAAGTGACATTGTAAAGAGTTAAGTTCGCAAACGTCGACCTTATCGCAGGATATATAACTGTAAAACCCATGTTTATGGTTCATTACACTATACAGCTTGTAGTAGTAAAATAACGATGATCTCTACGATACTAAAACTTTCCTAAGGGAATATACTCGTAGTTATGCCAGCTGCAACTAAAATAATGAGCCAGATGTCGTTCCAGATTGACCTGAAATGACTGAACTTGGCCTCTACGCGTTGTAAGTTTCACGATTCTTACAAACCACCTTACTAGAATTTTTCGCTAAGAAATCGTTGGCATGTGCTGTCTCTAGGCATTTCCTATTCTCAACGTTGTTATGATTGCTATATTGAACGAAAATCGCTCGCCAGTATCGTTTGCGTCATAGCAGTTCGTCATACTGAATGAAGATCAAAGAAGCGAAAGAGAAGCACTTAAAAAAAACAATGGTCGCTCTTCTTGGGAACAATAGCAGACTCCACAATGGCCCTATGGATAACTTGATTTGTGTCAATAGATTTGGCGCGTTACGGTTTTGATTAAGATGTTTATAAAATTCCAGAACGTCACTTGAAACGTGCATAGAGTCATCACTCAGTCATTGATACCATTCCCTTATAAAATGTCTCGCACTCAAACTATTATCAGGTTAATGAACACTAAAACGTAAATAATAGTTGTACAGACTTCAAAACAAGGCAGTTCCTAAACAAATATACCATCACTGACTCAGCTTTAACTTGTTTATTACAAGCTTGATTTGTTCAGACTTGCCTCCGGCAATGTAACTCTAATTTATTTGAAACACGCAAATTGCGCTAAACAGCAGTTCCAATCAATATCAAAGTATTATTATTGAATACAGCATATGATGGTGGCACAGGACACAGAATAAACGACGAAATGTTGCTTTTCTGTGACAATAAATTTAAGTAAAATGTTCATCGATGCTCAGTCGAGGTTGAACGGTTCTTTGTTTTGCAACAGGAAACTACGTAGAGCGTAAAATCTCTTTGTGGTAGTGTGTTTACACGTTACCTAGGCTCGCGGTGCATACAAAATTGAACACAGTTTGAATAAACAAAATTAACAAAATTACAAACGAAATCAACATTTTGGTGAGCCTGTGAGCCTGAACTTCTTCAATCCCGTTAAAAGATTTTTTGTCGATTTTTTCCGCGGCTGAATGGCTACTGAGCTACAAAGTTAACGGGAGTCAATCCAGATAAGATGTCTTTGATACTGCGTCGCTTATAGAAACATGTTTCAATATGTACAACTAAAAGCTACTTGCATATTCAATATTCGTTATTGAAGTTAATCGGAAGCGTTGTAATAAACAGCAAAATTTCCAAAACCAAACAGCAATGTAGTAAATCGGATACAAAGATGCCTTCGTTCTCAGTTTAAGATAACCGTTAGGGTTTCACACTGCAAGATTCACAAACAAAAATTCCTTTATCCTGTTTCTTGATAATAAATTATCATTGGAGACCTAGACTTGGCTTGGCTTGGATATATTTTCTTTTTCCCTCTCTGAAAACGAAAACAATGCAATATTGCGAAGTATGAAGAGCCTTTTCCGCTGTGGTTTTACACACGTAAGGGTCGCGACTAAGCATAGGAAGTGAGAGCCGTTTTTAGTTCGTCGAAATTTTCCATCCGTTGTTCGAAACACGATACTGATCGACTTCATTCAAGGTTCGGCTTTTAAACTGACGTTGAATTACAGTGAAAGAATATCACTGAAAGGTTGCAGACATTTCCCAGTCAAAGAGAATATAACCAACGACACCATTTGCTCAACACTAAATCAGTATTACTTTAATTACTCATTAAAATTTACATGGTTACGTCACCAGAAAGCGTTCTTGCTGAAATAAATAAATGTGAATATGTTGAATGCGCCAATAGGAGAACGGGCATTACTTGAAGTAAGTATGAAGATTTCCGTTATATTAGGAATAAAAGCAACGTTTTCGACTTTTTAAAACTCTCGAGAGGACCTGATAAGGTAGATCTTTTTGCTTCTAAGTTTTAAGCCTTGTAATGCGTTTTTTAATTAAACATAAGGATGTTTGAGCATTGTCTAAAATTGTTAAAGTTACTGACTGGACTGACATTATTTACAATGATACCTCTCATATCAAATGGTATCTCTGTTGTAGAAAAAATCTCCAAAAGGTAATGAAACGCAAATCAGTTACATGCCAAACACAAAATAAGTACAAGAACGTATGACAAAGAGAAACTACAAGTTTTAGATTGCAAGTCTGTTGAGCACCAAGGTACCTTTTAAGTATAAAAATCTATTTAAATAGGCTTTGATTCAAATAATAATTACATATGTTACTCTGATTTTTCATTAGTTATTTTTATGATTTTTTAACATAAATTGTCACATTTTGACTATTCTATGCAATATAATTTCTATATTATATATATGAAAACAGTGAAACAAAATTCACCCTGGTGTAAACGTTTTTTTCTCGCCAAAGACTCCAAAGTAGACGACATAAGAATACAAAGGAATGTCAGTCTTGTTTTTTTTCCTCCATTCTCTTATATTTCTTCTTGCACTCGTCCACATTTTTTTGTTTATTTTTAGGCCTTTAGGAGTCGTGAAATCAAAGTGTATACTTCATCTAGTGCAAAAGAACGCACTTTTCTTTAACACCGTTTTCATAAATTCAGCCATAAACATATACATTACAAAAATTACACCAGCCTGGCAAGTTTTTCAGATTGGGAGCAAGTTTAAAGATAAACTAGCTAAAGCTTGAAGTAATATATCAAACACGAAAGACCGCGTTTGACCTCATTTCCAAACACCGAGAAGAGAGTTGAAAATTCGACGGGTAGCAGAGAATTTTTGACGAACTTCGAGCTGTTTGGAAATTTGGTCAAACACTGTCTTGAGTGTTTGATATATCTTCTCAATCGAAACTAAAACTAAGGAGAAAATGGCGAAATAAAATCGTAAAAATCTATACTAATTTAGATCAGATATTCAAACACTGTCACGGTCATAATTTCCTTTGTTTAAACTTAATTAATTATTAATGAGTGTAAGAAGAAATTTTCTCAACCGTCCTAAGCATATGGGTATACGATTTAAAGTATACACCAGTCGCAATTGTTCTTCGGTAAACTAAGCATGGTAGTATCTCAGTAACCTATTTCGTGTGATTAATACTCTTTACACGTGACGACCAAACCACTCAGAAAAGATTCGCGTGTTGCTACTGCAGTTCTTGATCACGGGGCTCTACTTCCATATGCCATCTAAAAATGGCTCAATAAACCGGAAGAGGGTAGATGGCATCATTCACAACCACATAGGGTACATAGCTCATCGACTGCACGGGCTGCTGACATGAACATGCTGCGGAGGCTTGCCTCTTCTCCTGTTGGGTTTCCCTCTTCCTTAAGCGAGCCCTTCGGTTAGAGAACCACACCTTAGAAGGCAATAAGGAGAGCAATAAATTTCTTTGTTCAGAAGACTGAAAACGCTTACAACTGTCTTTAATTAAGTCCAAGTTGTAGTGTTGTCTTCATGCCCGCCCATTTTCCATCAATCGGCCTTGCGAGATAACCGGATTGTAACCACACTACAGACAGAACGTGATGCACTGGAAGCTAACATCTCAGCGGCGCTGGAGAAGCTTAAGAAGGAAAGAGCTTATTATTTTTCCCGATCATCTGAAGGGAAGGAAAGGGATGACTAAATTGAGGGAAGATGGTAAGGTTTTTGATTACTAGTTCATTTGTTTTTTCACACTGACTGAAAATAAGCCTTCCGGGTCCCTTTTCCTCCTTTGGAGATAACATGTGCAGATATAACTGGAAGTGTAATAAAAATACCGCAAGATCTAGTCTGATGTGTCAGACGACTTATCGCCCCAATCCCCTCTCCGCCTACTCCTCTCTTGGAATAGGAAAAGAAGATGTCTGACATTTCAAACTACGTAAATTCTCGGTAGGCAGGGATACCCGTTCCCCCTCAAACTTTTCCTTATCAAATTGTAGTATGCTGACATACTTTAAGGTTGCACACATCTCAGGGTATTTGTTGATAATTGTCAGCGCCTTAACTTGAGAGACTGGTCTCTAGTGGTTGCTGTGGGCTCAGCGTGTCAGACCCCCAGGATATAAGTTGCACCACTTCTGAGGCCATTTTTTTTTTTTTTATGGTATGTTCCTAATACATACCTGCACACGAGCTTCTGTTAGTGACAATCTATGGGCCAGTTCCTCTCTGGTGTAGACATCAGGATATTGAGTTTTCTGAAAGGCCTTCTCTAGAGCCTTAACTTGCTCATGCGTAAACTTGGTGCGACTACGACGCTGTTTGCGGGCGATGAAGAAGTCATTGTCCAAGCTACTGTACGTGTAACTTGGGGAAAAGGTACTCAAGGTCTTGAACTCTGCATCTTAAAGAAAAAGGACACGGAGAACTATAAGAATTATCGCATATGAAGCTCGTGTTTTACGAGTTAGTTTGCATGACACCGGACAGTATATGAATAAAAACGTGAATTATTACCCCCCTCAGGGTACATCCAGCCCACCTGCCGAAAACCAGTTAACTATTCTCAATTCAATTATTCTATGTATGTTTTACGTTACGGCTAAGATAAAAATAAGTTGCAATCAATAACAAAAATAATGAAAGTTAAGAAAAGAGGCCAAAGTTTCCCATCACAACAAAATCGCGTGACACCCCTCAAAAGCGTTCCTGCGTTTTCTAATAGCTCTAAGTTGATGACGTCAATTGAGCTCGGGTAAACCCACTTCCCTTTTCCTGCACACTTGTTTCTGATAATTAAAATTCTCTTTGTATCAAAACAAAAAAACTATGACAAGACAACATTTTAAATCCAGTCAGGCGTTGAGACATGACGGTTTAAAAGCTGATCAAGTTTCACGTGACTGAAAATTCAGTTGGAACGTCACAAAAAACTGGATGGAAAATTACTGAGTAATATCACAATGAAGGCTGTTTGGTGCGGTCGCGGGCATGACGGCAACAAATAACAATTAATGGTTTGGATATTTATTTCATCGGAAAATAAACTTTGAATTACATAGAGCTTTGTTATACATCGGTGAGCTCCGCAATTTAATCATTCAACACATTTCGTAAATAGATTTTCACAACTGTTAAAAGATGGTTCCATGTGGATTTCAATGAAACTGATTTTACGGGAAAAACTGAAATAATATAAGTAGATTGTGATGTTTGTAAATTCTTATTTTAACAGCTGGGGAGATTGGAAATGTTGCTCATACCTTTAGCTTACCTTACTCCACCATAAAGACAAGCGTAATACACAGTAATTACACTTTAAGAGTCCAGATTACATATCGCGTATGTTCAACATGTAACATGTATTCTGTAACATACCATATTGCACCAATACGTAAATTTTTGATATGCGCATGAGCCCATAAAAGTATTGAGAAGTTGACATGTTATATTACCTGGTGAGTATGACTCCCTATCGTCTTTATTTGTTGGACTTGGGGGATCATCTTCTTCCTTCACGATAGTTGGACTGGAATAAGATTCTTCCTCGTCATCGCCTTCCTTATAATTCTCTTCACTGGACTTCTTTCGCCACTTAGCAGCATCGCACTTCTTCATAAAAGCATCTTCTCTTCCTGCACTTTCTTGCACAATCTTAGACTTCAATATTTGGCTGATGGCGCAAAGTGATGGCACGGTACTCTTGCTGCACACATTTTCTCTCAAAAGGCGATCACGAACCTCCCAGGAAAAAATCCCTCCATTTTCTTTACGGTAATGGTCAATTTTCTCTTCAATTTCTGGAGTGACGTCTCGGGGCTTGTTCAAACCGACTATCCCTGGATCAACAGTGCCGGTCTCTTGGTATCGGCAGAGAATTTTGCTAACACAGCCATGGGAAACTCGGAGCTGACGGCTGATGTCACATGGCCTCACGCCCATCTGTGCCAATTCAATTATCTTCCATCGCAGTAGCTTCGGAAGAGGCCTGCCGTTTATGAAAACTCCACCAAGCTGATTTACCTTTCCTTGGCCTTAATTGGAAGGGAACAAACCATATCAGCTGAGTACGTTGCTTCTTATTAACGTATCACTTGCTACATTTTGGCCAAATTATATATCTTTAAACCAGAAATTCTCTTGAGGATATCATTCTTTCGTGTTAGTGTTAAAACTGGCGAAGAAACAATTTCTCTAGTACACGTGCAAAAGAATTGCAACAGTCTTCAACTTGTTTATTTATCCGGAAAACGTGGCCAAAACGAATCATTCACGCGAGAGAACACAACACTACACTCAACAAAACGTTTTGATAAAAGAAGGGACGTACAAGACAGATAACAAACAGGCTACCTGTAAACGCAAATGTTTCCATCGTCCTTACGGATCCTTGGCACAGAAGATTACAGAGCTTGGATTCGAAAGCAGAAGACAGTGTGATATGAGAATAACCGTTGGTATCATGTGCAGCTCCTTTTAAAGGCCATATATTCAGCTTGATGACGCAGGTAGGCGTCAATACAATCTATTCAGTTAAAGGATTTAGTCAAGCGTTCTGGTCTTATATTGTATTAAGAGGTATTAAACAAACAGTACCTTAGAACAATTAGTAGTTCAGGAAGTTCAAATAAAATGACTGTTTTCCTTGAGCGACCATGCTTCGCAACAACTTACAAGAATCACGAAAAGATTAGATCACGAAGCATCGCGTGCAAATGCTGTTTCGGTCTTTTGGAGTTTCGTGCTGGGCCTGTACTTTCAAAACGAGCAATCTATGGTTGGCGACATCTAAGCTTAATTGAACGTGATATTTGTGAGGCGCCATTTACTGACACTCAACTATATTTGTTACAAACAACATGTAATTTAAATATTAAGTAGACTGGCATACTTCTAAAGTAAATTTGAAATGGGGGGCAGAGTAAAGCTATTGGTCGTTTCTTTGTAATATCAAGGTTATTCCTTCCGAGATGTCTAGTGAACAGGTCATTTTGTATTGGTGCTGTTTAGGAAATACAAATTTACGGATTGTCAAGCCTAAAAAGCGTGATTCTTGCTGGCAACGGGCGGCTGCTTCAACGAGATTTCACGACGCATCAATGGTTGATCAAGTTAATCGATTTTATGTAGATAACAATGTTCCTTATGACCACAGAACGTTACCTCCAAACGCTGAGTCACGGATATTTACGTTACCATGACAATCTCACAAACACCATCAAACTTTTCATCCAAGTACCGCTTAAGCCAATCTTGGATTTTTTTTAAATTATGTCTGGTACCACGAAATATCATTTAATCTGATATTAAATATTATCTAGACTAGCTTAGATTCTGAACAATCCCTGCATTTTACCAAAAACAAATAAATGTATAAGAGTAAATAGGTAATAGGAGAATTATTATTTCCTTTCGCGCGGAAGAAAAGAACGCAACCACGTGGCTCGATTTTCCCGCTTGTTTCATTACGCTGCATGGTGTTTGACGTCAACGACTCAAGTATTTTCTATATTCGGTAACAGTTAATACTAATTTAAAACACTGTGTCCTGTGTCAAGACTTGAAATTCTTTCTCATTTAAAGTTTAGCCAATTTCAACCTTATTTTTTGTAGCTATCCCAACGTTGCCTCGTGTGGAGAACTCATTGCCTATTCTATCATTTCATATTTTTTTGCATTTGGCTGGAATTCTGCTAGATTACATTTCATTTCAGAGGTAAAGTCTCTTCAAAATATTGAAAAAGGTTGTAGTTTCACCATTTAGTGTTCCTGATTGAATTGATATCGGTGAGAAGGTCTTTGGTATTATGATTTTCTCTTGTACAAAATTCGATGGTTCAATGGCTTTGAATATACTAATCTCTATTTTACAAGGAGGAAACGAATTTCGTCTATTTTGAGGAAGAGATCTTTTTTTTTGTTTATTTTGCAATCTCATAGACCAAGTTCTGTTTCTTTGGCAACAAGATCAACATCTTTGATGCTAAAAGCCGGGTAAAACACTCATCAACTTCATCCATGCCAATCTCTTGTAAAGCTTTTTGATTTCGCGTCTTCTTTCTTGCTGTGGCTGGTGCTGTGGCTCTTCGCTATATTTTTTTATTCTATTATACCCTTTTCCATAGTTTGCACATTGTGACTAGTAATTTGAAATAATTTTTACATCTTCAAACAAAGGATCAAAATCTGCTTAGTTGCCTTATTACGTTGCATCGCTTTCGAAGAAAAACAATATCATTAACAGATAGGGCAGAGGTTACAGATAATGACTGAAAAGACCACCAAGATAGCAGTTTATTAAGTTTCGCTTCGTCATGTTTAATTTCCATATGATTTACCTGTTCCGGTAAATTCGTAACTTCCATTTCAAGGTTTCGAATGCGATGGTAAGGACGGTAAGCGAACATAAAATTTGTACTAAAAATACTCGTGAAAAAAAATGCGATATTGTATAACTGTCGCCAGATTTCTTGGCAACCCTAATCAATTAGCAAGTTGTATTAAGTGACACCGGCTAGTCTGCTTTGTGTACTTTATCCAGTATAAATGAGCTCTATAAAAAAGCGATTTAGCGTTGTCCTTTACAAAATTAAGTGACCCCGCAGTCTCCGTTATTGCGTCTATTATTCAACTCTTTGGTTTGTTTAATAATTTCAATGAGTCGTGTTTTTCCGTCGGTTTTTCTGTCGCTTCTCCTGGCTTACATAACATTTGTTCCCTGTGTTCTCTCTATCCAGTTGATAATCTCGGGTTGATAATCTTGCATAAAGCTACATTACAGCGGGCGAAGTTCTATTTTTGGTTATGTAAATCCATCAGTCTTCATTGAGAGAACAATGCAAACATCTTGAGCAAGCATTTTATAACACTGATGAAAATATGGCGTGGCGTCAGATATATTCAGCCTGCACCCAGTCAGGCGTCTCAGAACGCTTAATTAATCGCAAGCAGAACAGTGCGACAGTGCAAAGAAGAAGATGTCTACAAGTGGTGTTCTCTCTGCTGAACGAACCTTCATTGGAAGCTAGAGAAAAAAAAAGAAATACATATTAGAAAACAAGGGAACCGTTACATATAATTTAGCCTTTTGAAATATGTTACGAAATATGTAAACGATCAGTAAGTTTAACGGTCCTTTTGTCTTAAGTTTTTGTTGATGTGTTAATTGTTTGATCACGTGAGTTGATCTTACAATGTTAATCATCTTTAAAAGGGTCTTTAAAGGATATTTTATTTAAGATTAGATTAATGTTTCATTGCGATGTTGGATTGTATAACGATTTCATTTCAAATCTCTACCATTTAATAGCTTAATTATTGACTGTGATCGCATCGCGTAACTCTACGTCTCATGTCGAGGAAAAGGTTGTTGTTATTCATCGTGGTAGATGCAATAATAAAGTGTATTATCGTTTGTCTCACGATGTAGTCACTTGAGATGTAGATCG